TGACTTACTCTAAAGCCATCTTTGGAGTCGAGAAAAGGTGTGTTGTGTATAAATGTCTATCCAAACACTTGAGGAACAAATTTTGTTTCTTTTGGTCATAAAACAAATTAAAATCGTTGACTAGATGTACCACACTTTTAATTTAAATTAATGTAAATTAGAAAATACATTAGGAACTATTTTTTATTATCCACACTGTTCTTTCTAATCGCCAGGTGCAACGATAATGCATATGAATAATCAAATTAATCAGATATTGTACCTGAGATAAAGTTTTACTGGTTTCTAATTAATCTTTTTGTTTAAAATCAGGTTCAATTGATGTTAAATAGGTCAATTAATTATATGTTTAATCCTTAGTAATCACCCAAAGGATTGGCATGCCCATGTTACGACCCAAAAAAAAAAGGCACAGCCGTTTAAAAAGAAGTAGTTTTATAGTATTACAAAACGCGTGCTTGTCGTTATGTAAATATTCTAAAAAATAACTGTCCAATCATTCAGGCGCGTTCCAAACATTAAATGGTAAGCAAAAAGAAGCCGAAGTTGAGGGTGGGTGTCTGCGTGTCAGTGAGCACAAAATAAAACTAAGAGACCTTCTGACCCCACGCCATAGGACGACAGGAAAACGATGGTCAAAGCTCCTAAGCAAGTGGCATCTATAAAATTTTTAAGCCGAAGCATGCACAACTTATATCGACGGGTCAAAAGACCGCAAAGAATTTACGACCATTAAACATCAACTTCGAAACCAATTGAAACTCCTCGGTACTACAAGTCAGAAATTCTTTAAACTTAATAACTTAATAAAATATTACAACAATAATAATACTATGTTTTATAGCTACAATAAGTCAAATTAAATCTCTTTTGGGAGAGGGGATTCCATAGAAAACTAGAAAAAATGCTATAAACATTATATAAGTAAAGTGAGTCAAATGCGCGAGGAAGCGAAAAAATATAACCTGCTACATACGTGAACCAACCAGAGAAAACTAATCAGAATTTTGTAGAGTGAAGTCAGAACCATATTAGGCCTTACTAAAAGACGAAAACTATAAAAACACTTTAAATATTACAATACTTATGTAAAGTGAATTCAATACTTAAACACCGTAAAGAAGGATAGAAGTATCTTAACACATAGTTTTTAAGTTGATTGCTTATAATTTCTGCTGCAAAAGTAATGTTTCATTTTAATGAAAGGATTGCGCGATTTCAATTCGAGCTTTTATTTCTGGAGCTGAGTCAGTAATTATCGAGGTTCCCAGATACTTGTACTTCTATACTCTTTCAATGATCGCATCGGAAATCACCAGTCGTACGTCCATATCTGTTCTCTTGGTGAAAACAACCAACTTTGTTTTTGTCAGATTTTTCAGACCGTACACGATCTTGTGCAAAATACCTTCTGGACTATGTAGGTCATGGTTTTGTGCAAAAAGAACGGTATCATCGGCGTAGCTTATATTTTTTAAAAGGACTCCATTCATAACTACTCAAGCCTCATCCTCTAACGCTTTACTGATGGCTTCTGAATATACATTAAACAGCAATGGGGACGTTGACGCACACTGCTTTATTTCAATATCCTCTGATTTAACCTGTTCTATTTTAATACAGGTCGTTTGGCGATAATATAAATTCCTAATAATTCTTACGCCCCGGCTATCTATTGCTTTTTGTACTCAAATCGTCATTAATAGACCTCGCCGAACATTGTCGAACGCTCTGTCGTAATCAATAAAACAAGCGTATACATACCTCTTTATTAGCATAGAGACAACACTGTTAATAGATTATAATTTAGGCAAAACAACGATTCTCTTATGTCGAGGCCCCGTTATGAAAGCCGCGAACTGCTTTTCTCCTGTTACCACCTTCTTATACATTCGATAGTGAATGACTTTCAAGAATAATTTAGCATGCGGCTCATTAAACTTATAGTCTTAATAAATCCATTATATTTAGTGGTCCGAATGACCAAATTACTTCTTTCAATTAATTAACCTTTTTATGTAAGTTTTTCGCTGAAATGAAAAAGTCAGTGCCACGAGCGGGATGAAAAATGGCAAAAAGTAGGGGAAATCCGAATGGTTGAAGGTTGAGAAGTGGAGTTGGTGTCCGAGTGGATCAAAGGCAAGATAGCTCAAGTGGTAGAGCAGCGGCGGATTTAGCCAACGGTCGTGGGTTCGAATCCCGCTCATGGCACTGACTTTTTCACTTCAACCAAAACATTATTTGTAATTTTAAAGCGAATAAGCATTTAAAATAAAGTGGTTGGACTGACAGTAACTGACAAATATTAATTTTGCTCGTTTAAAAAGGTTAAAGACTTATTGTTAAAGAGAATCATTGAGATTAAAAAGTTTAAATAAAGAACTATTGAAAATTAAAAAATATAAATTTCTGATGAAGTGGATTCATTGTTCGACAGCTCGACGAAGGAACCAAGTGTTTTCTTTCCAAAAGACCATATCCCTTATAATTTTTTAAAAATATACAATTATAAATAATTCCAAGAGAAAGACAGTAATGTTTTCTGAAGGGTTGAAATCTACGTCAAAATATTATTCTTTAACTTACCACATCTTTCTTACACTTACTTAATAATGAATTAAAAAAATCCACTTTTGAAAAAAAAAAAAAAAAAGAACTATAAATAAATACTATGATAAATTCGATCCACTCGGACACCAACTCCCCATCTCAACCTACAATCTTTTTCCAATTTTCCTTCTTTTTGCCATCAACACCGTGGAGTTGGTGTCCGAATGGATCGAAGTCACGATAGCTCAAGTGGTTAAAGCAGCGGCGTATTTAGCCGAAGGTCGTGGGTTCGAATCCCGCTCGTCACACTAACCTTTTTCATTTCGACCAAAACTTTACATAAAAAGTTGTAATTTGGTCAACAGATCACTAAATATAATGGATTTAATAAGTAAAACGAAGTATATCTTCACTAAAGCTCTCCGTGGCCATTTTATTTGTCGCCGAGAATCGAATCCTGATACACGACATTTGAAAAATGGCAAAAAGGAGGGAAAATTCGAAAGGTGGGTTGAGATGGGGAGTTGGCGTCCGAGTGGATCGAATTCACGTTAGCACACGTGGTAGAGCCTCGACGGTATTGAGCCGAAGGTCGTGGGTTCGAATCCCGCTCGTGACACTTTTTCATTTCGACCAAAACCTTACATAAAAAGATTAATTATAGGCTTATATCGCAGCAAACGTGGAATGCAGCCACTCATCCGATGTCAAGCCTATGTACAACCAAACAAAACAACCTTAGAATCTACAAAAAGACGAAACCTAGAAGAAACCCGTATAATTACAAAGAATTCACAGGTAAGATAATTCAAATGCAAAATATTAAGGGTTAGAAAATCCTCACACATCTACGTACAGTGGACAACCAAAATTAGAAGATTGGCCCTATGAATACCATGAATCTACAGGGATTGTAACTATAAATTTCTGCTGTCAATTCAATCTTCTTTTACTATTTCAGAACAAAGTTATATTAAGTTCGTATTTGCTTCATTGTTAATGTAATGTCCTCAAAGCCTCCACTTGAAAATATTTAATAACACTTTACTGTCAGAAGAAAATCTATCCAAGTCCTTTTGTAAAACCCCTTGTACTTGACCATTTACTATGGCATATACTTTTGTGTCATCAGCAAGGAGTAAGAATTTCGATGTCTTGATAAAAATGAAAAACATACTGAGCCCTGGGAACACCCAATGGAGCAATAAATGAGATTGAAATTTTGTCTAATGTAAGTATAAATTTCTGCTGTCAATTCAATCTTCTTTTACTATTTCAGAACAAAGTTATATTAAGATCGTATTTGCCTCATTGTTAAAGCAACGTCCTTAAAGCCTCCATACAATTATTTGCCTGAATGACAGTACAATACGACACCGAAAGTCCATATTCGTGTTTTGTAACCTCCTTTTGCTTGTTTTCTTCTTACACAGCATGCGAATTTGTTTACCCGATACAATTTTGAATGCATTACCTCAGCTTCTACTTAAAGGGTATTTATTTTTAGATCCTGATTCATATCGGTCTTCTCTCTAGTTCTGAATACAAATCGCTGAAGGTATTTACTCAACCGTGGGGATAGGATTTACATAACTCGAGTGGCGGAAGAATGTCAATATTCGGGCATTGACTTTCTTAATAGCCAAAACCGTATGTTCTATTAAAAAAATATATCTGTTAGTTGTGCAGATTTCAGAGGACGGGAAAGGACGGATATTATTTCCATAAGAATCGTAAAAATGTCTATACTTTAGCAGTTTAACAATAGTCGAGATTCACGAAGGCAATATTCGCCAGTTGGACGTGATAAAGCTTGTTGTGTTGCCCTTTTATGAAGAGATCATTACTTTATAGCGGGAAATCGTTTTGACCTCGAGAAGAAAACTGCTCTTGCAAACTTCGCTAGGGAAAAGTTTTCATATTTTAAAATCTAAATGATCATAGTACAACCATCGAAATAAATCTGACATTTCGTCGCCTTTTCAAAGGATTTGCAAATTTAAATATTTTTACGACCCGAATGATAAATATTTGCAAATACTATTGTCTAAATCCAAGCTCGTTTATGAAATCGTTTATCAGGGGACGATTTATTGGTAAATCCCTGTGTGAAAGAATTATTCGAAGTAGCAAATTGAAGTTGAAGTTGAGATAAAGCGTTATCGGTTGTTTGAGTGTGCAACTATGTGTTGCATCATGAAGGCTTTCTCTTTATTTTACGTCTTATCCCCATGGGAGAATGCTTAACAACGAGTGCTTACACTTCTCGAAATCGTAAAAAAAACCTTACTCAGATAAACTTTGAATCAATATGCAAAAATTTACCTATCGTTTAAACCCTGACCGATTTCGCAATTAGTACGTGTCTGTGATCTTTTAAAACTGATCATAGGTGATTCACACGGTTGAGTTGTGAATGTGAAGCGTAGATAATTGAATGAAAAGGCGAATCGTCACAGCACATTTTTACTTGATTCTAAGATTGAACGTGGGCCCTGCATACTAAAATTTTGCAAGAAGACTTGAAACTGACATTTATACGGAGTGTTCAGGCCACTTGGCCCTCCTTGAGATGTTGCATGCACTCGCTAAAAGCTTCGACTTCCTTGGAACAGACCAAGGGCTGCTGTCTGTTTTTCTGCAGGCAGGTCATCACGTGCTTAGATTTTTCCCGCAAATAAGTTCTCGTCTCTGGGTTCGCCAATTTAGGAGGTAATAGTTTGTTCATCTCTTCGTTGGCCTTTATGTATTCCCTCTCGAGGATTTTATTCATTTTCTCATGGGCGTCCTGCTGCTTCGCCAACCTCTTGTCCCAGTATTCGTTATGCTTCTGTATTTCTTCGTCGAATGCCTGCTACAGAGTTCGATAACGGTTAAATTTGTATTATTTTAACAGATTTGTACTTTTGTCTTACTTTGCTTCCATAAATGGATTTTCCTCTTATAACCGTCGAAGACTCTTCTATCTGCTCCATAGGCGGTGGCACGTCTTTTGAGGAGTTTTGAAAGCTCAATCTTTCGACGACGCTAGAAGAAACTGTTATTATCGCCGGTTCATCGTTTTCAACGGATATCCTTCTCGTGCTATGCTGAACCCCCATTTTGCTACTTTTTAAGGACGTGAACTAAAACATTTTGCGAAAATAAATAATTTTAAACAAAACTATCTACTCGTATTATCACCTGTTTAATTCTTTAAAATTCAATCAAACATTTGGAGCTTCGAAATAAACCATACATTATTCAGAAATCGTGAGATGCGGTCTGGTGTGATGTAGGTTTCAGAAAAAACTTTCTTTACCGTGGCACGTTTCGATCTTTTTTGAGATCATCTTCAGGGCCTGGGATTTATAAACATTGTTTTCATTTTACTTTTACATGTAGAATGTGAAAAACTGAATTTATACAATTCTAGAAATTTTAGATTAAAAAAATAAATAAATAAAATGAATTTATACAATGCTACAAAATTTTAGATTAAAGAAAAATGAATGTATACAATGCTAGAAAATTTATATTAAAAAATGAATGTTTACAATGCTAGAAAATTTTAGATTAAAAAAATGAATTTATACAATGCTAGAAAATTTTAGATTAAAAAATGAATTTATACAATGCTAGAAAATTTTAGATTAAAAAAATGAATTTATACAATGCTTAGATAAATAAATAAAATGAATTTAAACAATGCTAGAAAATGTTCGATAAAAAAAATTTATACAATGCTAGAAAATTTTAGAATTTTGTAAAATTTTCTAGCGTTTTATTAATTCAATTTTTTATATCTAAAATTTTCTAGGATTGTAATTAGTTTTTTATCTAACATTTTCTAGCATTGTATAAATTCATTTTTTGAAATTTAAAATTTCTAGCATTGTATAATTTTTTTTCACATCCTACATGTATTTGTAAAATTTAAACAATGTTTATAAATCCCAGAGCCTGAAGATGATCTCAATAAAGATCGAAACGTTGGCACTAGGAAATCTCGCCGAAATAACAACGTATTACTGGTAAAAAAGGTAAAATTAAAATTTATTACTCGGAGATCGTGAGATGAGGTCTGGTGTGACGTAGGTTTTAGAAAAACATTTTCTTTATCGGGCCAACGTTTCGATCTTTATTGAGATCATCTTCAGGGCTCAAAGTGTTGGTTTTCTATGTAGATGTCCTACGTCACTCCAGATCGCATCTCATAATCATTAATCATTAATAATCATTAATTAACGGTCACTAAACACTACACATAAACCATACAATTTTTTAGTATAGTAGAAACCGTAGATGAATATGGCATAGTTTGAGTCATAAACACCAAATTGGTCGAAATATAAATTGTATCAAGTAAAGGCTTCCAAATCGTTTTCGTTCATCCTGTTATAAACCTTGCTAGAAAATTGGTCACAATTTCATTTTCATATTAAAATTTCTAATAGAATCTCAGAAGTCCAAACTATTGATTGAATTCAGCCAACGGAATAACAATATTCTAAAATGAGTAAAATATTATTTTAATGTACGGTTTTTAACATATATAATTAATTTAATTATACAATACAATTTTAAACACAGGTAAATTTGTTATCAAACAAGATCGAAGGCGTTTATTTTTACAAAATAAAATATAGTTTTCAATTAATTAATCTTTCATTAAGGTTTTGGTTGAAATAAAAAGTCAGTGTCACTAGCGGGATTCGAACCCATGACCTTAGGCAAATTACGCCGATGTAATAAAATATAGCGTTACGAGGAAAATATTTTATGTTAAAAACCACAAACCCAAAAATAAACAAAGGATTTGTTGATCTTAAAATAAATTCTTTCTGTTTTCTTCCTACAAGTTAGAAAGTATAAAATTGGTTATTTAAATTGTTAGCTGTTAACTTATAAGCTGTTCGAATATTCTCGTACTCGTTTGTTCTCAATGTTTACCATGAATTAATCATCCAACGATAAAGATATCACCAACTCCAAAATTACTTTACAATAATCCTGTTTTTTATGACTTTTTATTTTATATTATAATACCTTTCTTTAAAATTTTTTAAAAGGCATAAAACCACTAGGGGTCATAGCTGGGTACCTTTCTTTGTATTTGCATAAACGCACTAGCTATATATACTTCATTTCTAACAAAAGCGAAAAGAAATTCGCAGTAACGTCTTTTATATGGTTAGTTAAGTTTTTGCGGTGAAAACAGATTTCGGTTCCTAATTGTCCAATTCTTCTGTTAAGTTGTAGTACTCTTGACCCTTTGGTGAGGGTTCCACGTCAGTCTGCTGTCTAGATACTGTAAGTAGCTGACTTACATGGAAGGCGGTAGCTCCTTGAGGTTGGTGTACAGAGGAGGTCAACCTGTATTTTCAATGTAAATTTGCACTGTGTACATTTTTCCTCTTTCTCTCTGTCCCTCCACTTTTTTCTTTCACAGCAGAGATCTTTGATAAGCTTACAATATAGAGATAGAAGACAAACTTGCGATATCTACCACACAGGCTGTAATGATGGTGTTGAAATGTTTGGCAATTTCCATGGCAACGACAGAATACCAGTTCTATCCTATAAAGTTGTAAACTGTTAGACGTTAGCAAACAAGTTAGGTATGTCGGCACGAATTGAAGCGTGTCATTTGTTAGTACTTTTCGAGTGCATAGATAGCATTTCGAATGATAGATTTGAGTAATTTTCCTTTTTTATTAACTTCTGGCATCTTACAATTTAATACAAAAGAAAACTAAAACAAACAACAACAAGCCTTCAAGGACTGTTCTAGATTTTTGGTTCTACCAATCGCCGCGCGCACCTTTGCGGAAAATTTAACGTTTAACATGCTAAGAAAAGAAGGGGGCGTTCACGATCTTACTGGACATTTCTCTATTCGAGTTAGCACGAGTTAACATCTTACAAACATTGTGAGTTCTAAGAAAATGATCAAACTCATAAGAGTAATTGCGAGCCAAGTTACCCCAGGAATCAAACCAGAGAGGCCTTAAAACCTCCTGGCCTACAGAATTTACTAATCGATGACCTGGAAGTGACAAAACCCTCAAACAAAATTTAAATTTAAAATGCAGGCGTAATGTGAATGTACGAAAATTGTTCACCAGAGGACTCAGTATTAACCATATACCTAAGGGTGTATGTAAAGAAAATATTTTTTTATGAAATAATTTGAGCTGCATAACAAATTATGGATCGCAACACACTATTATAAACTGATATTTTCATTGAAAAGGCACTTCGTTTTGTGAGAAAAACACTGACCAGATTCTGTTCAGACCGAGCTTAATACTAGAAACTTTTTCATTGAGATGACTATTGAAAGATAATCGAGGTGTCAAAGTGACTCCCAAATATTTGTATGTTTTAACAACCTCTATTCGAGAACCTCTATCAAACCATTTCTCGGTTACCTTCAGCCTACCACCCTTTCTGAAGATCATCAAATTAGACTTTTTACGTTCAGAGTTAAATCCCAGTTTTCACAATATTTTTCCAGTATGTTTATATTCAACTGAAGAGCAACTGGGCTATCGGCTATAATCACATCATAGTTAATTTTGTGTTTCAGACCGTAACTCTTCCTTTATGGGTCGATGACAAATCGTTTAAGTACAAAGAAAAAGTATGGGGCTTAAAAGGCCTTTACAAACAGGCCTTTTTGACGATTCCAGAAACACTTTACAGTATGTATATCCAGTACTATACGTGAACGTCAATAAACTAATTTGTTCGATAGCTCCCTATCTTTCCGGCCTGGCTATCTTCGTTGATTTTTGTTGGTTCATTCAGACCAGAATGATAGGTAAACGATTGGGTATCAACTCGCAGACCACAGGAAGAATCAATCATTAGTTGAAGAGTCATAAAATCTTCTTGGTTGACCGTGTTATTAAAGAGAAACGAAGACACCTTTGGTAAAGGTAAGTGTTGATCCTCCCAGGGAGACGAAATTACACATTTCTAATGAAGATAAAACGCATGTCGGTTGTTCTTTGAGCATAGAATGAGTTGAGCGTGGGCATGGGTCGGGGTGGCAGCGTTGCAATTAGAGTATAAGATGGCGACGGTGCGAGCGTGAGGGCCACGCCTTTTTCCGGCCGCGTTTCCGCTCGTCCGTCCAATCCGAGACGAGAGTCAAACTGGAAGAAAGGGTGATTCCACTTATTCCACCTACTCCCTTGCACAAACTCCTCATGGGGGAATAGTATTGCAACGATAAAAAAAAATTCACTACGTCCCGATTGTTCTGACAATTTGTACAAAAATTTGTAGTGTGTGCATGTATCTACGTGCATTTATAATGATATAAAAGAGAACCCATCATTCTCTCTCATTCTTTCTCCTGCCTTACACCTAGTATACCACAAAAACGATGTATGAACCATTTAAACAATGTAGCTGCATCTTACTTGGTATGGTGGTGGTGGTGGTGAGCCATTTCATCCATCGTTTCCCCCAATACATTTCCGAATGTGTACAATTTCCTTGCCATCCATCACATTTTTAACCATTCCCATTGTTTTATTTCTTATTGTACAAAATGTAATCAATTTATTTATTATTCCATTAACTTATCAACACTCCCAGAATGACTATTTTAGTGTGGGCTAAAAACGTTGGTTAAAAAATGAATCGACATACCAACCCTTAACGCCTTTATTTTTCTGTTATTTCGAAGGGACACGCTTTCATTTTCCAAAACTTAAACTTCAAATAAACTTACATTTTCAATTCTTAAATAAAGAAAGGAGGTCAAAGTGAAAGCGAGAGAGTGTGTGAGAGACAGACAGACAGAAACAGAAACAGAACGAATATCAGCGAGAAAAAGAAAGAAAGAGGCAGATAAAGGAATAAACTAAGGGAAGGAGAAAGAGATTTAGGAGAGATAGGAAGTAGCAAATAGAGAAAGATGGGTAGATAGAAATATATCAAGACTGGAGGGATAGAGAAATTCTAGAGTCTCCAAACACACACAGAAAGCAAAAGAGAGATGGAGAGAGAGTCAAAGAGAAGAAAGAAACACTGACTAAAAGGTGTAGAGAGGGAAAAGAATGCCAAAGGAAGAAGAACTTAAAATCTGAGGGAGAGGGAATACAAAAAGATTTATAAAAAGAAAGATAGAGAATTATTGGAAACTGGAATGATATAGCTTCCATACACACACACACACACACACACACACCCACGCAGAGCGAGAGAAAGATAGAG